GCCCCACTCCCACTCACACACACACTCACCCACTCACTCACCACACTCACCCACTCACTCGCCACTCACCCACTCACTCACCACACTCACCCACTCACTCGCCACACTCATCCACTCACTCGCCACACTCACCCACTCACTCGCCACACTCACCCACTCACTCACCACAGTCACCCACTCACTCGCCACACTCACCCACTCATTCGCCACACTCACCCACTCACTTGCCACACTCACCCACTCACTCGCCACACTCACCCACTCACTCGCCACACTCACCACACTCGCACTCGCCACACTCACCTACTCACTCACCACACTCACCACAATCACCCACTCACTCGCCACACTCACCCACTCACTCGCTTACCAACACTCGCCACCCACTCACTAGATCATGTTCCACACACTCACTCACTCACCATAGTTGGGAGTGGTGGCGCAATGGTTAGCGTTCTCCGCTACGAATCCGGTGACCAGAGTTGGAATCCCGTACACGACCAATACTAATATGTAAATAGGTGCCTGGTGCTGGGCCTCACCTAGGTCGACTCAACCTTAAATGAGTACCTGGTGCGGTGTGTAAACAGCAGCAACTCTGGTTAGCACCGTTGGCCCTGTACGATGCGGTAGAAGTTCAACATAGTTACGCTCACACCACCAATACCAAAACTTGCTCTTTACCACTAAGTGACGTCACAATGGCACATGCGTCAGGCTAGGTGCACTTTCAGGCCACGTGTTGTGTCGAGGCTCGCTGACAGGAGGTCTCGGGACGGACCCAAGTGCCATGAGTTGCCTAACTGAGATGACCTGCAGATGCACCACCTGTATGCCCCACTGTGCCCACTCTCTGCATTCTATCCGCCCGACGCTCTGCTCATTGTTGTGAGCGTTACTCCTCTACCCTCCATTGTTGCTGGAGGGCAACTGCCACCAAATCCCCAGCAGCGTCCTTCACTAACCTCCTCCACAAAGGCCGATCTTGACGCTGCTGGTACCAGTCATCCGCAAGTTCAATCAGTTCCACATTTTTTTGTACTACATCAGTCCATCTCTTATCTAGCCCGTACTGAGCCCCTATATATGGCAGAGCAGAAGATGCTTGGGAGTGCGGTGGCATTAAATAGCTGATGAAAAGATAATGCCGCTCAATGGATTCGGAGTGAGACCTTGGCTGCAAACCGGAGCTGGTCATAAGCACACCGCCCTGGTATGGAAAGCTCTCCACTCTCTCCACAACTGCCCCATCACTCATGGGGAGCTGAGGGAGGGGAGTGTTTGATGGCATAAAATACCCAGGCAGGTGCTTTCTTTTGTGGAGCTGATGGTCAGTCCCCATCTTGGGCATCGATCAGCTTCCCATTATAGCTGTACCAGATGGAACTTCCACCGGTACATCCATGGATATCTTCTCGAACTACATGGTCAAAGACGATGTTAAATAGTGTAGGGGTCAGAGGACATCCCTGTCACACTTTAAGGTGAACAGGGAATGGCTCCGACTCCCGGCCACGTAGTGTTACGTGTGCCTGCCCAACATCATGACGGTGCTTAATGATCGTGAGCAGAGAGACAGGACTCCGAAAGCACAAAGCACAACCCATAGCCCAGGCCTATTGATGGTATCATAGGCCTTGACCAGGTCAATAAAGCAGAGATGTAGGTCCTGTCAGAATTCCTTACATGTCTGCTGTAGTGGCGGTTTTATTGTGTTTTATTTTTATTATTTTATTACTTCCCTTCTACGTGACTTTACCAAAAGAACCAAGAAGATGTCTGCTGTAGCAGACGCACAGAATATATGGCATCTGTGCAGGATCGTCCTGGTCTGAAACCACATTGGGTCTCCGCAAGCCTCTCCTCAGCGTGCCTGGCAAGGCGATGTTGAATAATCTTTGCCAGGACCTTTCCCGGCACACTGAGGAGGGAGAAATCCCGGTAGTTCTTGCAATCAGTGTGGTCTCCTTTTAAAGAAAATGGGGACCAGAACGGCATCCTTCCAATCCTGCAGAACCCTTCCTGTAAACTAGACCATCATAATGATGTCATATCGGGCAGTCTGTACACAAACGGCACCATCCCTCAGCAATTCGCTTAAAAGGTCATCTCTCCCCGGCGCTTTACCTCGTCCCAAGCTACAGATCGCTCGTCGCACCTCCTCAACAGACGGCCACTCACAAGGAGTGGCTACTTCCTCCAATATTTCAGGCACAGCAGCACCAGCAGGGCCAACCCCGCCTTGCCCCTATGGCTGTTGTTTGAGCTGAGGAGATTCCCCCCAAGACATCGCAGATATGCTCAGTAAAAACTGCGAACCTGTACTTGGGGGTTGGAGATCGGATCACTTTTCTTTCCCTTAAGGATGGTGATAAGTGTGGCGCTCCAAGTAACTTTTTTGATGGTGGGAGTGGGCCTATCGCTTACCTTCAACTCCCCGGAACGCCTCCTCTGTTAGCCAGGGCTTCTGGGGAGGCCTGGACTGCGTACCCAATGCAGCCATAGCAGCTGCTTTAGTCGCCGTCTTGGAACACACCAATTTCTCTTCGACGTCAGGAGGGGGGGGGGGGGGGCGATGTCAAGCCCAGTTGCAAGTGATGATGACATTCTTGCTTGCAACCTTCGTCAGTTAGACGGGATCAGGCCATTGTGGGTTGGAGTGGAGTCCTTGGTAGATGATTGCCACCACAGTGGGAGTATGGTAGGGACAGCTTACAGATGACAAGCCGATGATGGTCAGGAGGAAGACTAGTTCCATGGTGGGTCCTGGTGTCAAGGACGTGGGCCTGCATTCACTGTTTTGTAACTATGTAGTCCAGCAGATGTTTTTGCTTGGACCCAGTGTACTTGCATGATGTTGTGTGAATGCGCTGATGCCGGAAAAGTGTGTTGGTGATTACAAGCTCATGGGCTGCACATAAGTCTAACAGCCTCCTACCGTTGCTATTGAGCTGATCTGGCCCATGCTTTCCAATCATTACAACCCAGGTGTCTGCGTCATGACCCACTCGGGCATTATAGTCACCCAAAAGGATGATTCTATCCCGTGGGGTCACATCAGGCAGCACCTGGGACAGAAGGTAATAGAAGCCATTTGACTCGTAAGCATGGCCGCCATCAATCCACTGATGTTCTACTTTGGTGGGGGTGTAAGCCACTATCACCACTATTCCTCTCGTCTCGTTGATGGGGATACGAGTCTCAATAACCTGGTACTCACAGCTGCCCACGCTTCCATACCCCCTTCATCCTTTTGTTCAAAAGAAGAGCTGCTCCCTGTCGGTTGGCAGTTTCCTGCAGAGAAGTGTCCACCCCTCATGGGGACTGGAGCCAGAACCGGTCCACCGGACCTCCTGTACACCACAGAGGTCTTGGCGGTACCGGTACCGGTCCAGTTCCCGACAGAGGAATGGAAGCCTCTCCTCCGCGGCGAACGTTCGGACATTCCACGTGGCCAACTTTGGTGTTCTCCTGAAGTGTATTTTTGGTTCTTTCGGTAAAGTCACATAAAAAATAAAAATAAGGTGAATACATTTTTTAAAATACAAAAACAAAAACCACTTATGTAGATTAGTCTGGTTCTTAATCTAAGTGAGTGTACTTTACCGAAAGAACCAAAGACTATGAATTCCTGCAGTCCCGAAAATTCTCCTCAAGTGTTTCTTGACAAGTCCCGAGCTTGAGGGGGTAGAGTCTGGCTCCGCCAATGGAGTCTTGCCAGCAGGCGTCATGGACGCCTCTCCTCCCCGGGGGCCTCCAGCACGAGGTCACGTGGGTGTTTCCACCCACGTTGGCTACTGGTATAAGTCCGTGGTAATTTGTAGAGGTTAACAGCACCCTCGCAGCACACGCTGACCATCGCTCGCTCACGAACACTCCCTCCTCAACACCCCATTCTTCTCCTCTTGCGTGCCACGATGACAATGTCGAGGTCTCTGCTGCTGCTGCTGGCCACGACGGGAGGGCTTCAGCAGAGAGAGAGAGAGAGTTCGTGTCGCACATACCACAGTCGTGTTCACTACATGGCCCACAGTTGCACCACTGCAGCTTACGAACCCCACCGCCTGCGATCGATGCCCACTCACGGCCCAACCACGTGACGGCGAATATACAAACTCGTCCTGGGCCTCACGTGGGTCGACTCAGTCTGAGCAGTGAGTAAAAAAGCATCGCCACTCGGGAGACAAAGGCGGTCAGGCTTGGCGCTGGCCACCCATCCCCCCTCTTGTGCTGTGCCGACTTTCATAGGTGATCGTGAATGGCACTTGCCCCCACGGTCTGTTGAGGCTACACGGGGGATCTTTGTCTTTGTGTGTGTGTGCAGGGGAGTTATAGGCAAACAGGGTTACCAATGCCAAGGTAAATAGCATCCCCACCATCACCACCCCCATCACCACCATCACTACCCCCATCACCACCATCACCATCACCCCCACCATCACCACCATCACCACCCCCATCACCACCATCACTACCCCCATCACCACCATCACTACGCTCATCACCACCATCACCATCACCCCCACCATCACCACCCCCATCACCACCCCCATCCCCACCCCCATCCCCACCCCCATCCCCATCATCACCCCCATCACCACCACCCCCATCACCATTACCACCCTCATCACTACCGCCAACAACAACAGCCGCTATTTGCCACTAAGTGGCAGTGATGTCACCACGGCGCCTGTGCCAGGCCAAGTGCACATTGAGGTCTAGTGAAATGTCAAAGGCTAGCTGACAGGAGGTCATGGGACAGACCCAGGTGCCATGGGTTGACCGACTGGGATGACTGGCAGATGCACCACCTGTGCCCCCTACTGTTCCAACTTGCTGTGCTTTAGCCACCTGGCGCTCCGCTCGTTGTTGTGAGTGTTGCTCCTCTGGACTCCGTTGTTGCTGGAGGGCGACTGCCTCCACATCCTCTTGCACCACATCATTCCATCTCTTCTCTAGCCCGTGCCGTGCCCATTTAGCCCCCCCTATGCGGCTAAACAGAAGCTGCTTGGGCATGCAGTGGCTGGGCATGCGGGCTACATGACCCAGCCAACGCAGATTTGCCTGCCAGAGGAGCTCACCGATGGGACTTTGTCCAGATCTTTCGAGGATTTGTGAGCTCACACAATCCAGCCTGGTTAAACCCAGGATGGATGGCAGACATGCCAACCTGAATGTTTCTAACCGGCGAAGATGCTCCATTAGGGGGGTTCACGTTTCACAAGCATAGAGAAGGGAGGGCATGACTGTGGCCGAGAAGACCTGAAGCTTTGTGTGGAGCGACAAACCAGGTAGCTTCCAGATAGCGTTATGCAACCGATGAAAAGATATTGCCGCTCGACTGATTCGGAGTGAGACCTCTGCTGCCAAACCGGAGGTGGTCATGAGCACACTGCCCAGGTATGGGAAACTCTCCACTCTCTCCACAACTGCTCCATCACCAATGGGGAGCTGAGAGGGTGGAGTGTTTGATGGCACAAAATACCCAGGCAGGTGCATAGTTTTTGGTGGGGCTGATGGTAAGACCTCCACTACCATCACAATCCACATCACTACCCACATCACTTCCCCGACTACCATCAGCACCCCCATCATTATCGCCACCCCCATCACAACCCCCATTACTGCCCACATTACGACCCCCACCTCCATCACTACCCACATCACCATCACAACCCCCATTGCTACCTACATCACCATCACAAACCCCATCACTACCCACATCACCATCACAACCCCCATTGCTACCTACATCACCATCACAAACCCCATCACTACCCACATCACTTCCGCCACCCCCATCACCACCCCATCAAGCTGCATCGCATCCCTGTCAATCCGACTCGCGTCCTGATCTTGGACCCCCCCCACTGGTGCCACCCCTCCCCCCCAGTGTGCACGTGCGTTGTTCACAAGCGATGCCATCAGCTGATCATCACGCGCTGTCCCGGCATGAAGAGAGACTCCTCCCCCGAGGTGATGACATCACCCACATCACCATCGCTACCACAAGCACCATCACCACGGGCAGCAGCAGCACCAGCACCACCACAAGCAGCATCGCCATCACCGCAACCACCATCACCACCACAAGCAGCATCGCCATCACCGCAACCACCACCATCACCAGCAGCATCGCCATCACCGCAACCACCATCACCACCACAAGCAGCATCACCATCACCGCAATCACCATCACCACCACCAGCAGCATCACCATCACCGCAACCACCATCACCATCACCAGCAGCATCGCCATCACCGCAACCACCATCACCACCACAAGCAGCATCACCATCACCGCAATCACCATCACCACCACCAGCAGCATCACCATCACCGCAACCACCATCGTCACCACAAGCAGCATCACCATCACCGCAATCACCATCACCACCACCAGCAGCATCGCCATCACCGCAACCACCATCACCACCACCAGCAGCATCACCATCACCGCAACCACCATCGTCACCACCAGCAGCATCGCCATCACCGCAACCACCATCGTCACCACAAGCAGCATCACCATCACCGCAATCACCATCACTACCACCAGCAGCATCGCCATCACCGCAACCACCATCACCACCACCAGCAGCATCACCATCACTGCAACCACCATCGTCACCACCAGCAGCATCGCCATCACCGCAACCACCATCACCACCACAAGCAGCATCACCATCACCGCAATCACCATCACCACCACCAGCAGCATCACCATCACCGCAACCACCATCACCACCACCAGCAGCATCACCATCACCGCAACCACCATCGTCACCACAAGCAGCATCACCATCACCGCAATCACCATCACCACCACCAGCAGCATCACCATCACCGCAACCACCATCGTCATCACAAGCAACATCACCATCACCGCAACCACCATCACCACCACCAGCAGCATCACCATCACCGCAACCACCATCGCCATCACCACAAGCAGCATCGCCATCACAAGCAGCATCGCCATCACCGCAACCACTATCACCACCACAAGCAGCATCACCATCACCGCAATCACCATCACCATCGCCATCACCACAACCACCATCATCGCAACCACCATCACCATCGCCATCACCACAACCACCATCAACACCACAAGCAGCATCACCATCACCGCAACCACCATCACCACCACCAGCAGCATCACCATCACCGCAACCACCATCACAAGCAGCATCGCCATCACCGCAACCACAATCACCATCACAACCACCAGCAGCATCGCCATCACCGCAACCACCATCACCGCCACAAGCAGCATCACCATCACCACAAACACCATCACCACCACAAGCAGCATCACCATCACCAACACCAGCAGCATCACCATCACCGCAACCACCATCACAAGCAGCATCATCACTGCAACCACCATCACCATCACCACCACCAGCAGCATCACCATCACCTCAACCACCATCACCACCACCAGCAGCATCACCATCACCGCAACCACCATCGTCACCACCAGCAGCATCGCCATCACCACAACCACCATCAACACCACAAGCAACATCACCATCACCGCAACCACCATCACCACCACCAGCAGCATCACCATCACCGCAACCACCATCACAAGCAGCATCGCCATCACCGCAACCACAATCACCATCACAACCACCAGCAGCATCACCATCACCGCAACCACCATCACCGCCACAAGCAGCATCACCATCACCACAAACATCATCACCACCACAAGCAGCATCACCATCACCAGCAGCATCACCATCACCGCAACCACCATCACAAGCAGCATCATCACTGCAACCACCATCACCACCACCAGCAGCATCACCATCACCGCAACCACCATCACAAGCAGCATCATCACCGCAACCACAATCACCATCACCACCACCAGCAGCATCGCCATCACCGGTGGTGATGGTGGTGGAAGTGGTGTTGGAGATGGTGGAGGTGATGGTAGTGGTGATGGTGGTGGTGGAGGTGGTGGTGGTGGGGATGATGGTGGTGGAGGTGGTGGTGGGGATGGTGGAGGTGGTGGTGGTGGAGGGTATGGTGGTGGTGGTGGTGGTGGTAGTAATAGAAGTGGTGGTGGTGTTGGAGATGGTGGAGGTGGAAGTGGTGAAGGTGGAGCACCTATGCTCGGTGCTCGCAGCGCTTGCCCCCGCAGCGTGTCGAGGCTACCCGGGGGACCTTTGTGTTTGTGTGCGTGCAGGTCGGGGGCCAGAGGTTCAACATCAACGTGCCGCACAAGTTCTACATCCACAACTACAAGGTGCCCACCTTCTGTGACCACTGCGGCTCGCTGCTCTGGGGGCTGCTCCGCCAGGGCCTCCACTGCAAGGGTGAGGAGTGAGGAGTGGTGGCGGTGGTGAGGAATGGTGGTGATGAGCGGCGGTGGTGAGTGGCGGTGGGGAGGGGGTACGTCTCTGTCTCATGGTATGTCTGTGTCTCCATGTCACTCTCGATCTATTTCCTCCGTGTCTCATTATGTGTCTCTGTGTCTCCGTGTCTCTGTGGCTCGCTATGTACCCGTGTTCCCGTGTCTCCGTGTCTCTGTGTCCCCGTTTCTCCGTGTCTCTGTAATGCCCTGTGTCTCCGTGGCTCCGTGTACCCGTGTCTCTGTAACGCGCCCCGTGTCTCCGTGTCCCCGTTTCTCTGTGTCTCTGTAACGCCCTGTGTCTCCGTGGCTCCGTGTCCCCGTGTCTCTGTAACGCCCCGTGTCTCCGTGTCCCAGAGTGCCGCATGGACGTGCACCGCCGGTGTGAGCGGAACGTGGCCCCCAACTGTGGGGTGGATGCGCGGGAGATGGCGCGCGTCCTCGCAACCATCGGAGTCACTCCCGACAAGATCAACCAGCCCCGGAGGAAGGTGGACAATGCTCGCCCACTCACTCACCACCTCGCTTACTCACTAACTCACTCCTCCAACTACCGCCACGCTCACTCACCCACTCAATCACCGCCACGCTCACTCACTCACTCACCCACTCACTATCTCACTCCTCTATTTACCACCTCACTCACCCGCCCACTTACTCGTGAGCTCACCCACTCACCCACTCACCCTCTCACCCACTCACCTTCTCACCCACTCACCCTCTCACCCACTCACCCATTCACACACTCACCCTTTCACCCACTCACCCTCTCACCCACTCACCCACTCACTCACTCACTCACCTTCTCACCCACTCACCCACTCACCCACTCACACACTCACCCTCTCACCCACTCAAACACTCATCCTCTCACCCACTCACCCTCTCACCCACTCACCCACTCACCCTCTCACCCTCTCACCCTCTCACTCACTCACACACTCACCCACTCATCCTCTCACTCACTCACTCACCCTCTCACACACTCACCCACTCACCCTCTCACCCACTCACCCACTCACACACTCACCCTCTCACCCACTCACCCTCTCACCCTCTCACCCACTCACCCACTCACCCACTCACCTTCTCACCCACTCACCCTCTCACCCACTCACCCTCTCACACACTCACCCTCTCACCCTCTCACCCACTCACCCTCTCACCCTCTCACCCACTCACCCTCTCACCCACTCACACACTCACCCACTCACCCACTCACCCACTCACCCTCTCCCCCACTCACCCTCTCACCCTCTCCCCCACTCACCCTCTCACCCTCTCACCCACTCACCCTCTCACCCTCTCACCCACTCACTCACTCACTCACTCACCTACTCACTCACCCTCTCACACACTCACCCACTCACCCTCTCACCCACTCACCCACTCACACACTCACCCTCTCACCCACTCACTCTCTCACCCTCTCACCCACTCACCCCCTCACCCACTCACCCTCTCACACACTCACCCTCTCACCCACTCACACACTCACCCTCTCACCCACTCACCCTCTCGCCCTCTCACCCACTCACCCTCTCACCCACTCACCCACTCACCCACTCACCCTCTCACCCGCTCACACGCTCACCCACTCACCCACTCACCCTCTCCCCCACTCACCCTCTCACCCTCTCCCCCACTCACCCTCTCACCCACTCACCCTCTCACCCTCTCACCCACTCACCCACTCACCCTCTCACCCACTCACCCACTCACCCACTCACTCACTCACTCACCTTCTCACCCACTCACCCACTCACCCACTCACCCTCTCACCCACTCACCCTCTCACCCACTCACCCTCTCACCCTCTCACACACTCACCCTCTCCCCCACTCCCCTGCCCACTCCCCCCCCCCACAGGGAGGCACACCCCCTCTGGTCCTGGCTGGAGACGGGAAGCAGCACAGTCACGTGGACAGGTCCAAGTCGGCTCCACCCACACAGCCACAGCCTGAAGGTGAGTAGCAGCATCAGCGACATCATCAGCATCATCAGCAGTAGCATCATCAGCAGCAGTAGTATCAGCAGCATCATCAGCAGCAGCAGCATCATCAGCAGCATCATCATCATCAGCAGCATCATCAGCAGTAGCAGCATCATCAGCAGCATCATCATCAGCAGCAGTAGTATCAGCAGCATCATCAGCAGTAGCAGCATCATCATCAGCAGCATCAGAAGCAGTAACATCATCATTATCATCAGCAGCATCATCAGTAGGAGCATCAGCATCATCAGCAGTAGCAAAATCATCATCATCAGCATCATCAGTAATAGCATCAGCAGATCATCATCAGCAGCATCCTCATCAGCAGCAGTAGCATCATCATCAGCAGCAGAATCATCCTCATCAGCAGCAGTAGCATCATCATCAGCAGCAGAATCATCCTCATCAGCAGCAGTAGCATCATCATCAGCAGCAGAATCATCATCATCAGCAGCAGTAGCATCATCATCACCACCATCATCATCAGTCGTAGCATCATCATCAGCAACATCATCAGCATCAGCAGCAGTAGTAGCATCATCATCAGCAACATCATCAGCATCAGCAGCAGTAGTAGCATCAGCATCATCAGCAGTAGCAGAATCATCAGCAGCAGCATCAGAAGCAGTAACATCATCATCAGCAGTAGCATCATCAGCAGCAGCAGTAGCATCATCATCACCATCATCATCAGTCGTAGCATCATCATCAGCAGCATCATCAGCAGCAGTAGTAGCATCAGCATCATCAGCAGTAGCAGAATCATCAGCAGCAGCGTCAGAAGCAGTAACATCATCATCAGCAGTAGCATCATCAGCAGCATCATCAGTAGGAGCATCAGCATCAACAGCAGTAGCAGAATCATTATCAGCAGCATCATCAGTAGTAGCATCAGCAGAATCATCATCAACAGCAGCCTCATCAGCAGCAGTAGCATCATCATCAGCAGCAGGATCATCATCAGCAGTAGTAGAATCATCATCAGCAGCAGCAGGAACAGCAGCAGTAGCATCGTCATCATCAGCAGCAGGAACAGTAGTAGCAGCAGTAGGATCATCATCAACAGCAGTAGCATCATCATCAGCAGCAGTAGGATCATCATCATCAGTAGCATCATCAGCAGCAGCATCACCATCAGCATAATCAGCAGCTGCAACATCATCATCAGCATCATTTGCAGCAACATCATCATCATTAGGAGTTTCATCATCAGCAACATCATCATCATCAGCAGCATCATCAGGTTTCACATTCCTGATCTACGAATCGCCCCTCCTCTCCCCTCTCTCTCTCTCGGCCTTGCAGATGTTGAGGAGGGCCACTTCGGTGTGAGGAAGGCTCGGTCCTTCAACGGCGGTGAAGGGGACGGAGGAGGAGAAGGAGATGGGGAGGATGCAGGAAGAGGAGGAGGGGGGGAGGCGGGGGTCGCCGTGGAGGGGGGGTTGCCGCTGCCACCTGGGTCCGGTGTCGCACCAGGAGGGGGGAGCCCAGCTGACGGCTCCTGCGTGGTGCAACCGCGCAGGAAGCTGGGACTGCACGACTTCAACTTCATCAAGGTCCTGGGGAAGGGCAGCTTCGGGAAGGTGAGGGAGGAGGGGAGGGAAGAGGGCTCTTTTTCATCATGCACCCCAAAACTGTGTGGGTGGCACATTCGCTCGGACGTGGGTGGGCGTCTCTTTCCCAGAGTGCACCCCAAAAAAGTACTGCCGAGGCGGTTTCAAAGTCCCTGGGGCTTGTGGGAGATGTTGCTCGGTGCACCCTTCATTGTGTAATAATTCTTTGGAGACGGCTTCGGAATCGGTCCTCTTTATTTTTACCTCCATGATACACTTATTTCACTCACGCTCCGTTGTTGGCAGACAACAGAGAGCGGGCAGACTTCACACCAGCTCCCACCGCGCACGTGGCACCCGGAGCCCCCGTACGCGCGTGGCTCTCGCCCTGTTCGTTTCCCAGTCTGCTCTCGATCATTCTCTCTCACTCTCTTTTAATCCCTTCATCACGTGGTCCCCCCAGCCAATCCTCCATGGACAGTCTCGACCGTTCTCGATGGTTCCCTGTCACTCCCGGGACCACGCCTCTCATCCGGATCCCCATTAGCTGGGGCCCCGAATGGCTAGGCCAATCACTCCTGATGACATGCCGTGATCACGCCGGCCCCACGCTCCCTATCTCAACCCTTATTGGCTACAAAGCAGGACCGGCAAGCCAATCCCCACGTGAACCCTCTATGGCTGTTATTACAATTGCACTGCGGGTGTGGTCATCCACGTGTCGTGCTGTGGATTCGGGAGACGTCGGAGACGGTTTTGTAGACAACACTCTTTATTAACACCACGCTCGGCAGTACAGCCCCAGAACACTCGGGGCTACGGTCCCCCTACACCACTGTCTGGTGAGGTACTGCCTCAGGGCTGACTCACCCTGACACAGGACTAGACTCAGGGCCTCCTACACCACTGTGTGGTGAGCCACTGCCTCAGGGCTAACTCACCCTGACACAGGATTAGACTCAGGGTCCTTCTACACCGCTGTGTGGTGAGCCACTGCCTCAGGGCTGACTCACCCTGACACAGGAGTAGACTCAGGGTCCCCATACACCACTGTCTGGTGAGCCACTGCCTCAGGGCTGACTCACCCTGACACAGAACAACACTCAGGGTCCTTCTACACCACTGTCTGGGTGAGGCACTGTGTCAGGGCTGACTCACCCTGACACAGAACTACACTGAGGGCCTTCCTACACCACTGTCTGGGTGAGGCACTGTGTCAGGGCTGACTCACCCTGACACAGGACTAGACTCAGAGCCTCCTACACCACTGTGTGGTGAGCTACTGCCTCAGGGCTAACTCACCCTGACACGGGATTAGACTCAGGGTCCTCCTACACCGCTGTGTGGTGAGCCACTGCCTCAGGGCTACACTCACCCTGACACAGGAGACGACTCAGGGTCCCCCTACACCACTGTCTGGTGAGCCACTGCCTCAGGGCTGACTCACCCTGACACAGAACAACACTCAGGGTCCTTCTACACCACTCTCTGGGTGAGCCACTGCCTGAGGGCTGACTCACCCTGACACACAACCACACTCAGGGTCCTCCTACACCGCTGTGTGGGTGAGGCATCAGGGCTGACTCACCCTGACACAGAACAACACTCAGGGTCCTTCTACACCGCTGTGTGGGTGAGGCACTGTGTCAGGGCTGACTCACCCTGACACAGGGCTAGACTCAGGGTCCTCCTACACCACTGTCTGGGGAGGCCTCAGGGCTGACTCACCCTGACACAGAACCACACTGAGGGTCCTCCTACACCGCTGTGTGGTGAGCCACTGCCTCAGGGCTGACTCACCCTGACACAGAACCACACTGAGGGTCCTCCTACACCGCTGTGTGGTGAGCCACTGCCTCCTGGTTGACTCACCCTGACACAGAACTAAACTCAGGGTCCTCCTACACCGCTGTCTGGTGAGTCACTGCCTCAGGGCTGACTCACCCTGACACAGAACTAGACTCAGGGTCCTCCTACACCACTGTGTGGGTGAGGCATCAGGGCTGACTCACCCTAACACAGGACTAGACTCAGGGTCCCCCGGCTATGGGTGCCTAGGGGGAGGCGATTCTAGCTCGCCCTCGCCAGGGTGCGAGTTCCGACCACTGACCCACTGGACCCGGCCCTGACAAGGTCGTCGGGCCGGGGGTCCCCAGGGTCTCATCACTGAGCCGCACAGAGTCCCTGACGAGGGCAGCGGGGCTAGGGGTCTCAGGGTCTCACCACTGAGCCGCACAGAGTCCCTGACTAGGGCAGTGGGGGTAGGGGTCCCCAGGGTCTCACCACTGAGCCGCACAGAGTCCCTGACGAGGGCAGTGGGGCTAGGGGTCTCAGGGTCTCACCACTGAGCCGCACAGAGTCCCTGACGAGGGCAGTGGGGCTAGGGGTCTCAGGGTCTCACCACTGAGCCGCACAGAGTCCCTGACGAGGGCAGTGGGGCTAGGGGTCTCAGGGTCTCACCACTGAGCCGCACAGAGTCCCTGACGAGGGCAGTGGGGCTAGGGGTCTCAGGGTCTCACCACTGAGCCGCACAGAGTCCCTGACGAGGGCAGTGGGGCTAGGGGTCTCAGGGTCTCACCACTGAGCTGCACAGAGTCCCTGGCGAGGGCAGTGGGGCTAGGGGTCTCAGGGTCTCACCACTGAGCCGCACAGAGTCCCTGACGAGGGCAGTGGGGCTAGGGGTCTCAGGGTCTCACCACTGAGCCGCACAGAGTCCCTGACGAGGGCAGTGGGGCTAGGGCTCTCGGGGTCTCACCACTGAGCCGCACAGAGTCCCTGGCAAGGGCAGCAGGGCTAGGGCTCTCGGGGTCTCACCACTGAGCCGCACAGAGTCCCTGGCAAGGGCAGCAGGGCTAGGGGTCTCAGGGTCTCACCACTGAGCCGCACAGAGTCCCTGGCAAGGGCAGCGGGGCTAGGGCTCTCGGGGTCTCACCACTGAGCCGCACAGAGTCCCTGACGAGGGCAGTGGGGCTAGGGCTCTCGGGGTCTCACCACTGAGCCGCACAGAGTCCCTGGCGAGGGCAGTGGGGCTAGGAACTCAGGGTCTCACCACTGAGCCGCACAGAGTCCCTGGCGAGGGCAGTGGGGCTAGGGGTCCCCAGGGTCTCACCACTGAGCCGTACAGAGTCCCTGACGAGGGCAGTGGGGGTAGGGGTCCCCAGGGTCTCACCACTGAGCCGCACAGAGTCCCTGACGAGGGCAGTGGGGGTAGGGGTCCCCAGGGTCTCACCACTGAGCCGCACAGAGTCCCTGACGAGGGCAGTGGGGGTAGGGGTCCCCAGGGTCTCACCACTGAGCCGCACAGAGTCCCTGACGAGGGCAGTGGGGGTAGGGGTCCCCAGGGTCTCACCACTGAGCCGCACAGAGTCCCTGACGAGGGCAGTGGGGGTAGGGGTCCCCAGGGTCTCACCACTGAGCCGCACAGAGTCCCTGACGAGGGCAGTGGGGGTAGGGGTCCCCAGGGTCTCACCACTGAGCCGCACAGAGTCCCTGACGAGGGCAGTGGGGGTAGGGGTCCCCAGGGTCTCACCACTGAGCCACACAGAGTCCCTGACGAGGGCAATGGGGCTAGGGGTCTCAGGGTCTCACCACTGAGCCGCACAGAGTCCCTGACGAGGGCAGTGGGGCTAGGGCTCTCGGGGTCTCACCACTGAGCCGCACAGAGTCCCTGGCGAGGTGTGTTGCGTTGACTCTCAAGCTGCGCTCCGTGTGGCGCAGGTGCTGCTGGCAGAGCTGCGTGGCCGGGGGGGGCGCCGGGCGGCTGGTGAGGGTGGTGAGGGTGGTGAGGGTGGTGAGGAGGAGGAGGGTGAGGTGTTCGCCGTGAAGGTGCTGCGCAAGGACGCGATCGTGCAGGACGACGACGTGGAGTGCACCCTGACGGAGAAGCGCGTCCTGGTGACGGGGCGCGCCCACCCCTACCTCACGCAGCTGCTGTGCTGCTTCCAGACCGCGGTGAGACCACCTCACCACGAGCTCACCCCTAGCTCACCCCTAGCTCACCCTCACCCTCACCACTACCTCACCCCTACCTCACGCAGCTGCTGTGCTGCTTCCAGACCGCGGTGAGACCGCCTCACCACTAGCTCACCCTCACCCCCACCTCACCCTCACCACTAGCTCACCCTCACCCTCACCCCTAGCTCACTCTCACTCCCACCTCACCCCTAGCTCACCCTCACCCCTACCTCACCCTCACCCCTAGCTCACTCTCACCCCTAGCTCACCCTCACCCCCACCTCACCCTCACTGCTACCTCAACCACACAGTGCTTCTGCTGCTACTGCTACTACTGCTACTACTGCTGTTGCTATGTCTGTTGCTTCTACTGTTGCTACTGCTGCTACTTCTGTTGCTCCTTCTACTGCTGCTGTTGTTGCTGCAGGACCGGCTGTTCTTCGTGATGGAGTGCGTGAGTGGAGGGGACCTCATGTTCCACATCCAACGTGCGCGCAAGTTCCCCGAGCCGCGAGCGCGCTTCTACGCCGCCGAGATCACCTGCGCACTCACCTTCCTGCACGCCCACGGTATCGTCTACCGGTGAGGAGACGCTCACCCTCACCCCCACCACGGGGGGGGGGGGGGGGGTCTAGCGGTGAGACGTTCACCCCGCTCACCCTCACCGCCACCACGGGGGGGGGGGGGTCTAGCGGTGAGACGTTCACCCCGCTCACCCTCACCGCCACCACGGGGGGGGGGGGGTCTAGCGGTGAGACGTTCACCCCGCTCACCCTCACCGCCACCACAGGGGGGAGGGGTCTAGCGGTGAGATGCTGGTTAATGCAATAACATGATTCTACGTAAAAGGTTTCAGTTGGGTGTTTTAACATCTCAACACCTGTTTTGTTGTCAGAAAAAAGATGAAAACCTATTCTCATATATTGTTGTACTGGCAAAGGAGGTCCCTTGATATTCCCACGTCTCCCCACGTGTGCGTGTCCCCACGTGTCCCCACGTGTTCCCATGTGTCCCCACGTGTCCCCACGTGTTCCCATGTGCACGTATTTCCATGTATTCTCGTGTGTGCGTATTCCTCTGCGTTTACTCCCATGTGTGCGTGTTCTCATGTGTGTGTGTTCCCGTGTGGCGGGTTCCCGTGTGCGCATGTTCCCGTGTGTTCCCGTGTGGCGTGTTCCCATGTGTTCCCGTGTGCGCGTGTTCCCATGTGTTCCCGTGTGCGCGTGTTCCCATGTGTTCCCGTGTGGCGTGTTCCCATGTGTTCCCGTGTGGCGTGTTCCCATTTGTTCCCGTGTGGCGTGTTCCCATGTGTTCCCATGTGTTCCCATGTGTGCGTGTTCTCATGTGTTCCCGTGTGCGCGTGTTCCCATGTGTTCCCATGTGGCGTGTTCCCATGTGTTCCCATGTGTTCCCGTGTGGCGTGTTCCCATGTGTTCCCATGTGGCGTGTTCCCATGTGTTCCCATGTGTTCCCATGTGTGCGTGTTCTCATGTGTTCCCGTGTGCGCGTGTTCCCATGTGTTCCCGTGTGGCGTGTTCCCATGTGTTCCCGTGTGGCGTGTTCCCATGTGTTCCCATGTGTTCCCGTGTGGCGTGTTCTCATGTGTTCCCGTGTGCGCGTGTTCCCATGTGTTCCCGTGTGGCGTGTTCCCATGTGTTCCCGTGTGGCGTGTTCCCATGTGTTCCCATGTGGCGTGTTCCCATGTGTTCCCATGTGGCGTGTTCCCATGTGTTCCCGTGTGCGCGTGTTCCCATGTGTTCCCATGTGTTCCCGTGTGCGCGTGTTCCCATGTGTTCCCGTGTGCGCGTGTTCCCATGTGTTCCCATGTGCGCGTATTCCCATGTGTTCCCATGTGGCGTGTTCCCATGTGTTCCCATGTGGCGTGTTCCCATGTGTTCCCGTGTGGCGTGTTCCCATGTGTTCCCATGTGGCGTGTTCCCATGTGTTCCCGTGTGGCGTATTCCCATGTGTTCCCATGTGGCGTGTTCCCATGTGTTCCCGCGTGTTCCCGTGTGGCGTGTTCCCATGTGTTCCCATGTGGCGTGTTCCCATGTGTTCCCATGTGGCGTGTTCCCATGTCTTCCCGTGTGGCGTATTCCCATGTGTTCCCATGTGGCGTGTTCCCATGTGTTCCCGTGTGCGCGTGTTCCCATGTGTTCCCATGTGGCGTGTTCCCATGTGTTCCCGTGTGGCGTGTTCCCATGTGTTCCCGTGTGGCGTGTTCCCATGTGTTCCCGTGTGGCGTGTTCCCATGTGTTCCCGTGTGTGCGTGTTCCCATGTGTTCCCGTGTGGCGTATTCCCATGTGTTCCCGTGTGGCGTGTTCCCCTGCGCGTGGACCCCCCTGCGTGTGTCCCCGTGAGCAGGGATCTGAAGCTAGACAACATCTTGCTGGATGCCGAGGGGCACTGCAAGCTCGCCGACTTTGGGATGTGCAAGGAGGGCGTGAAGGACGGGGTCACGACCTCCACGTTCTGCGGCACCCCCGACTACATTGCTCCCGAGGTGGGGGGGCCGCGCGGGGGGGGGGGGGGAGAGAGGTTGGGGTGGGGGGGTGGAAGGAGGGGGGCGGTCGGTGGGGGGTGAGAGGGAGAGGGATCTGATTCTGCCGAGGTGGCTGCTATCCACGCCGCTCGTTCCGACTCGCGCAGCGTTGGGCGTGGATGGGGCGAGGGCTTGTTAACGGCGTTACCCGGTAACCCGTTGGAGAAGCGGTCACTGGTTCCAAGGGGGATATGAGCGAAGAACGCAACGATTGCCACGTTATGGTGGTTGTGGTGGTGCTGGTTGTTGTGATGGTGGTGGTGGTAGTGGTTGTGGTGATTGTGATCGTGGTGTAGGTTGTGATGGTGGTGGTTGTGATTTCCGACAGCCTAAAATCGGTTTTAGCTAAATGGTTGAATTTCGCAGTCACCCCTAACCACACCCCAGTGGATGATATCATTGCCCAGGTCGATGTAGCCCTTAAGGGTTTGGGACTCATTACTGCAGACGTGGCAAGATTGGAAATCGCTGCAATCTTCAAAGGCTAAGGCACATATCAGCAACATCAGTAAGGATTAATTAAAAAAAAAGAGATGACATCCTCATATTCTCAGCCGACAAGGGCAATGCCACAGTCATCATGGGCAAAACCACATACAATAACAACATTCAGGACCTACTTAATGATGGTAGCTATACCAAAATTAAAAGAGATCCCACCAACAGCTTCATTACGAAAACCAACAATATCATCACTGATTCGACATCTTTAATCGAACCAACCAAGCTGGTTCCCTTAAAACCCTCTGCTGCACGACTACCCAGATTGTATGGCTTACCAAAAATACATAAAGAAGGTACACCACTTCGTTCTATCGTCTCCACCATTGACTCACCGACCTACAAACTGGCCCGATTTCTGTCTGAGACCTTACAACCATTCTGTACTTAGCTCACTTGGTGTCATTCATTAAGGACATCTCACTATCTCCAGGTGATTTGCTCGTTAGTTTCGATGTGGTATCTTTGTTTACCAAAGTTGCTGTGCCTGACACCATTGCAATCATTGAAGATTTGGTCCAACAAGGACTGAATGCTGATGTAGCGGCCCTGGTGAGACACTGCCTCATCAACACTTACTTCACCTGGAGTGGAACATTCTACAAACAAGTTGAAGGTACCCCAATGGGTTCTCCCTTATCTCCAGTTGTAGCCAATATTTTCATGGAAAATTTTGAGACCAATGCCATCCAGGCATCCACTCTACGCCCGTCCTTGTAAAAGAGGTACGTGGATGACACGTTTGTCATCTGGCCACATGGCCTACCAGCTCTGAACCAAGTCATCATCCACATCAATTCCATACACCCAGCCATCAAATTCACCATGGAGGTCGAAAAGGATGGCAAGCTACCATTCTTGGATGTTTTCATCTAAAAGAGACCAGATGGCTCAATGGGCCACTCTGTCTACAAGAAAGCCACCCATTTGGATGCCTACCTAAAACCTGACTCTCACCACCATCCATCCCAGAAGAATTCCCTCATCAAACCTCTACACCATTGAGCTCGATGTATTTTCGACCATCATCACCTAGCCAGTGAACTGAAACACGTGCACCAAGCTCTCAAGATGAATGGATATTCAGACTACACAATCCGTGAAGCTATCACCCCAACCGTTGGGAAAGAACCATTTGAGGACCCAATCAAAACCATCACCTTGTCATACATAGCAGGGGTCACCAAAAATATTTCCAAAATCATGACCAAACACAAGATCCAGGTTTGATTCAACACAATACATACGATTCGTGATCTGATCCATCTGTGAAGGATGTGATCCCTGACATGCAATACCCCGGCATCTACAAACTAAGCTGTGTCTGTGACAGTAGTTAGTTACATTGGGGAAACTAAGCGACATGTCTCGGACCGTGTTAGTGAACATAAGGCAGATCTGAAACAAGGTAGGACCAATACCTCGGCCGTGGCTGATCATTGTTTTAATGCAGTGGGCTCACACGAAATGTATTTCTCTATGACGAAGGTACTTTGCAAACTCACTGGCTATCAACAAAGATTCGTTCATGAAGCCATCCATATATACACACATAGACACAATTTCAACCGAGAAGATGGGTACAAACTCTGCAATCACTGGAAGGGCGTTATCAGCCAGTTTAACTAATTACTGGCTGTAATGTTTTGATTTTAGACCTGGCAGCACTTTAATTGATGGAAGCCCACCACCAGGACCATCACTGCCCACTACTACCATCACCACGAGCAGTAGCCCTTTACTGGTGGAAGCCCACCCACTACCAGTGCCGTCGTGGCCCTCTACGAGTACCATCACCTCCAGCAGCAACCTCCACCGTCAGCCGTGTGAGTGTGTACAGCGAGGTGCAATGGTTACTTGGCAGCCCTTTAATTGGTGGAAACCCACCACCAGCGCCGTCGTCGCCCTCTACCAGTACCACCACTTACATTAACATTCGCTGCCCCGCCCATGCTATTGACACTTGGGCTACGCCCATTTCAAACCTTTATAAACAGTTTGCCTTTAGAGGCTAACCCCCTTTTCCTGATGACGACCGCTTGTCTTGCGATCGAAACGTCGCAGTTTTTTGTTATTTTCTTTGAACCTATCTACGTGACTTTACCGAAAGACCCAAATAATATGGTGGTTGATATGATGGTGGTGGTGATGGTGGTGGTTGTGATGGTGGTGGTTGTGATGGTGGTGGTGGTTGTGATGGTGGAGGTGGTGATGGTGGTAGTTTTTGGTGGTGGTGGTTGTCGTGGTGGTGGTTGTGATGGTGGTTGTGATGGTGGTTGTGATGGTGGTGGTGATGGTGGTGGTTGTCCTGGTGGTGGTTGTCCTGGTGGTGGTGGTTGTCGTGGTGGTGGTTGTGATGGTGGTGGTTGTGATGGTGGTGGTGATGATGGTAGTTGTGGTGGTGGTTGTCATGGTTGTGGTGATGGTGGTGGTTGTCCTGGTGGTGGTGGTGGTTGTGATGGTGGTGGTGATGGTGGTAGTTATGGTGGTGGTGGTGGTGGTTGAGTAGATCCTGCAGGAGCTGGAGTACGGCCCCTCTGTGGACTGGTGGGCCATGGGCGTCCTCGTCTACGAGATGGTGGTGGGCCAGCCGCCCTTCGAGGCGGACAACGAGGACGACCTCTTTGACTCGATCCTCCACGACGAGGTGGCCTTCCCCATGTGGCTCAGCACCCAGGCCGTCGACATCCTCAAGGCCGTGAGACGCACACCGTGTCTCACCCCCCCCCCCCCGTGTCTCACCCCACCGCCCGTGTCTCATCCCACCCCCGTGTCTCATCCCACCCCCGTGTCTCATCCCACCCCCGTGTCTCATCCCACCCCCGTGTCTCACCCCCCCCCCGTGTCTCATCACACCCCCGTGTTTCATCCCACCCCCGTGTCTCACCCCCCCCCCGTGTCTCACCCCCCCCCTCGTGTCTCACCCCACCCCCGTGTCTCACCCCACCCCCCGTGTCTCCCCCCCCCCCCCGTGTCTCACCCCACCCCCGTGTCTCATCCCACCCCCGTGTCTCACCCCCCCCCCCGTGTCTCACCCCACCCCCCCATATCTCACCCCCCCCGTGTCTCACCTCCCCCGTGTCTCACCCCCCCGTGTCTCACCCCCCGTGTCTCACCCCCCGTGTCTCACCCCCCGTGTCTCACCCCCCGTGTCTCACCCCCCGTGTCTCACCCCCCGTGTCTCACCCCCCCCCCCGTGTCTCTCCCCCCCCGTGTCTCACCCCCCCGTGTCTCACCCCCCCGTGTCTCACCTCCCGTGTCTCACCACCCCATGTCTCACCACCCCATGTCTCACCCCCCGTGTCTCACCCCCCCCCCCATATCTCACACCCCCGTGTCTCACCACCCCCCAAAACTCACCCCCCCGTGTCTCACCCCCCCGTGTCTCACCCCCCCGTGTCTCGCCCGGTGTCTCACCGCCGTTTCTGCGTGCCTCTCACCTCCGTGTCTCACCCCCCGTGTCCCCGCGTGTCCCAGTTCATGGTGAAGTCCCCGGCACGCCGTCTGGGCTGCGTGGCGGCGCAGGGTGGGGAGGCGGCGATCCGCGCTCACCCCTTCTACCGCGGCCTCGACTGGGACGCCTTGGAGCACCGCCGTCTCCCCGCTCCCTTCCGCCCACGCATCGTGAGCCTGGGGGGATGGGGGGTGCAGAGGGGGGTAGGGGGGGTTTTGTGCATAACAGCAGCAGTGTCATCAGCATCAGGAGCATCATCATCCTCATCAGCAGCATCAGCATCCTTATTGGCAGTGGCATCATCCTCATAAGCATTAGGAGCATCATCATCATCATCCACATCAGCAGCATCATCATCATCCTCAGTAGTGGCATCGTCATCAATATTAGCATCATCGTCATCATCAGCAGCATCATCAACAGTGGCAACATCATCATCATCATCTCATCAGCAGCTGCAGCATCATTGGCAGTGGCACCGTCATCAATATCATCAGCAGCAGCATTTTCTCTCCCTTGACCTTCTGCCAGCAGCGAGCCTTGCACGTCACGTGATAGTCTCAAGATGCACCTAGCCTGGCACAAGCGCAGTGGTGACGGCACCACCAATTGTTGATCACCTTACTGCATAGCTCTAATCAAACCCCGAACCCTCACCCTATCTATAACAATAACCCTACCCCTAACGCTCTCCACAACCCTACCCCTAACCCTCTCCATAACCCTCTCTACAACCCTACCCCTACCTCTCTCCATAACCCTCTCCACAACCCTACCTCTAACCCTCTCCATAACGCTATCTCTATCCCCACGCTATCGCTAACTCTACTCTCGCCCCCCCCCCTGTGTAGCGGGGTAAGCGCGACGTGGCCAACTTTGACGGGGACTTTACGCGCGAGGACCCGGCGCTGACGCCCACCGACCCGGCCGCGCTGCTGCAGCTCCCCCCGGACGAGTTCCGCGGATTCTCCTTCGTGGCCGACGGGCCGGGGCCGGGCCTGGGCGGCGGGGGCGGCGCCCCCCCTTCCCCCCCGCCGTCGCCGCGACAACCGCGGCAGCCGACGCCCCCGCCGCGGTCTCCCACGGCGAGGGTTGGGGGGGCCCCGCGGCCCCCCCCCGCCCCCCGCCTGCCCCCGACCACGCTCGCCATCGACCCGGTGCCGCGGGCCTGCGGCCCCGCCAGGTCGGCCGAGTATTACGCAGAGTGCCGCCTGGGCTTCGGCCTCGGGGACGAGGAGGAGGAGGACGAGGTGTAGGGGATGATGAGGTGGAGTGGGTGAGGTGTAAGGGGTGGCGTGGAGGTGTAGGGGACGAGAAGGACGATGACGTGTGGGTGACGAGAGGATGAGTGGATGAGGCGTAGGGGACGACGAGGAGGAGGTGTGGGTGGACGATGAGGAGGATGATGATGTGTAGGGGATGAGGTGTACTGGAGGAGGAGGTGAACGAGTTGGACGTGAAATGAAGGTGGTGTTGAGATCAGTGTAGGAGGAGGTGGAGGTGAGAGTGGAGGAGGTGGAGGAGGTGGAGGAGGTGTGGAGATGAAGTCTACTGGTGAGAACAAGGCTCGTGCAATATTTGCACCGAGTCGCGGTTCAATCGTCGCTGCTGTTCCCGTTCCAGTGTGCGCACCAGCATCACCATCACCATTGTCACCATCGTCATCATCACCATCGCCACTATTACCACCATCATCACCACGATCACCACCATCATCATCATCAGCACCATCATTATCATCATCACCATCATCTTCACTATCACTGCCATCATTGCCACCATTGTCATCATTACCATCGTCATCATCATCATCATCATTGTCACCACCACCACCATCACCACTCCCGTCCTGATGGCCGCGATAGCCGCGGTGGCCGTATCGTCGTCGTCGTTGTCCGCGTGCGTCCCCACCAGCCGGGCGGCCGTGGTCCCGTACCGTCGTTCACGACCCGAGCCAACAGCGAGCCTCTCCCCTCCCAACGGAACGAGAGGGGAGAGGGGAGGGAGGGGAGATGGGGTGGGGCGACGTCGTAACCACTGAAGCGGCCCCCGTGGACGCGCCACGTTGGCCCAAAGTTGGCCCAACATTGGTGCCGGCGTTGTGCGTTGTACCGGGGGAGATGGACGGTATGCACGAGAAGGGATGCGCCTGCGTGTGTGTGCGCGCGTCTTTGTACCGTGTGTAGTGTCGAACTTCTTATGCACCGTGCATAGCCAAACCATGCCAATATTCGGGAGGTGCGGGGGAAGGACAACGAACTAAACACAACACACCAAGCAGTTCTAAAGGAAATGTACGTGAATGAGTCAGCCAGAGCAAGGCGAAGCTGAACCAGTAGAGATCGAGAGATAGAGGAGAGAGGGGGAGACAGGAGACAGAAAGACAAAGAGGGTCTGTGCTGATTGGACTCGTGGGATATTCTCCCCTAGCGCGTCTCTGTGACCCCACGACCCTGTGACCCCACGACCCAATGACCCCACAAACCCATGACCCCGCGTCTCTGTGACCCCACGTCTACATGACCTTGTGACCCTGTGACCCCGCGTCCCCATGACCCAGTGTCCCAATTACCCCATGACACTGTAACCCCGTGTCCCCGTGACCATGTGCTTCCGACCATCGATTATTCACGCGCATCGTGGAGCGAAAGCGAAGTCGCGCTTGGGCTGGGGTGGCGCTGCGAGGAGGAGGAGGAGGGAGAGCAGCGCTAGGAGATGAGGTGACACGGCACCCGGCGTTAGTAGTAGCGGTTGCGAGTCGCGGTTGTGAGTCGCGGTTGTGAGTCGCGGTTGTGAGTCGCGGTTGCTATCGACGCCCAGCTGTCCGCAGTGGGGAAGCCTCCGTTCCATGTCGAGGTTCTGTGTGGTGTGGCCGCTACTCACCAGCCGTGGACTCCGCAGAGCGGGCGAGCAGCTCTCTCCCGCTTGGCCCTGCTCCCAGGAACTGGGCCGCAGGCTCCAGTTCCTGCCGGCGCTGTTGCGCCACCGCCGACTCGGAAACGAGCGCGGCTATCCGCTATGGTGGCGAGAAGTTAACTACCATGCCTGGTATACAGGAGGTCATGGGTTTGATCCCGATCCTGACACCTGCTGTATAATTGGGGTTTACGTGTCTCTCTCTCCCCGTGGTCGCGTGGATTTTTCTCCGGGTCCTCCGGTTTTTCCCTCCACATTTAGAATCAACATCATCACGCGTTTTAGAGTATTTGGCTGCTGCTATAAATGTCCACACGATGATGAGCCACTTTGTTGGGCTGTCATTTGTGATAGCCAGGTCGTGCTTCTGAAAAAGAGCTAAATATAGCTCAGTGGGCTTTGCCTGGTAAAATACAAAAAAATGGTCGAATAGTTTTAATAGTTTAGTAAACAGAGCTGACTTGAGCGTGGCACTACGAATGCCATGCGGGGTCAGAATACAAAATGCTTCCCTCCAGTGATCGATCAACGCGTCCAAGGATGCTTGCCATGGCCGATAAGGTGTCGTGTGTGGGGCTGTGTGTGGGTGGCGGTGATTCCATGTATGTGTGTGTAGCAGTGTGTGTGTGTGTGTAGCAGTGTGTAAGTGGTGCAGGCTATGTGTGTATGCGGGCCATGTTGGTGTGATTGGGCGATGTAGATAGATCGGTGCGTGCAAGGGGTTGCTAACCCCTCCACCTGGCACTTTTTCTACCAAGCACGGCGGTGGAAACACCGACATGAGCCCGTGCTAGAAACCAGGGGGACAGGCGGCCATGACGCCTTCGGGCCAAACTCGTTCTGGCGGATCCAGAAACAGGAAACCACTGAGGTTGGGCACACGGAACGTTCGCACTCTCGTTGCGGAGGAGAGGCTGCCACTCCTCTGTCAGAAGATGGACCGGTACCGTCTGGAACAATGTGGAATACAGGAGGTCCGGTGGACCGGCTCTGGCACCAGTCATCATGAGGGGTGGACAGTCCTGCACTCGGGGCAGGAAACTACCAAAAAAGCAACAAGAGGAGAGGAATGGTGGTGGCGGTGATTAATTATGCCCCCACCAAAGATGAACATCGGTGGAGGGATGCAGACAAGGCTGATGAGTCAGATGCCTTTTATAACCTCTTGTCCCAGGCACTAGCTAAAGGTGTATTTAATGCCTGAGTGCGTCATGATACACGACACCTCGGTTGGAGTGATGGGCCAGATCATCTTAATGATAACAGAAGGAGGCTACTAGACTTTCCTGCAGCCCATGGGATTGTTATTATGAACACACTGTTCCGGAATCAGCGCATCCACACACCATCATGGATGCATGCCAGGTCCAAGCAAGAACATCTGCTGGACTATATAATTATGGACTAGTGGATGCGGGCCCATGTCCTTGACACCAGGATCTACTGTAGAGCTGATTTCCCTATGTCCATCGACTTGTTACCTGTAAGATGCGCTTGGCATTTTTCTACTCCGGTGGTGGGTGTCAACCCCATTGGAACCCACAGTGGTCTGGTCTCAGCTAGCTGAGGATAGTTGCAAGTAGGAATTTCAACCGCTTGCAGCTGGGATGAGCATAATGCCCCCCTCCTTGTGATGCTGAGGGGAAATGGGTGACGTTCAGGACTGTGGCTCATGCAGCTGCAATGGCTGCATTGGGTATGCGGTCCAGACCTCCCCAGAGACCCTGGCTGAAGGAGGAGGTGTTCCGGTTGGTTGAGAGAAAACGATAGGCCCACACCGGTCGTCTACAAATTCCAACATCGGAGAATGAGGAGGCTTGCCGCAGGCTTCGCTTCAAGATTCGGAGTGCCGTGCGGCACTGCAAGGATGAGTGGTGGGGGTGGGTTGCTGAGGAGATGGAATCTTCCTCAGTAGCCCGCAATTACAAATCACTATTTAATGCCATAAAAAAAGTAACTTTCACCACCTGGTCTATCACCATCCTTAAAGGAAAGAACGGTAACCCGATCTCCGACTCCCAGGAACAGATCTGCAGGTTTGCAGAGTATTTTTGTGAGGTCTTGGGGGAGGGGAATTCCTTCAGCCCAGACATTATGGGGAAAGGTGGGTATGACCCTGCTAGGGCAGCGGTGCCTCAATATTGTCCTGGTATGGATTGTTCAACATCGCCTTGCCAGGCACGCTGAGGAGAGGCTTGCGGAGCCCCAATGCGGTTTCAGGAAAGGGCGGTCCTGCACAGATGCCATATTTTCTGTCCGTCTGCTACAGCAGAGGTGTAGGGAATTCCAATAAGACCTACATCTTTGCTTTATTGACCTGGTCAAGGCCTATGATACCATCTACAGGCCAGAGCTATGGGCAGTACGTCGTGCTTTGGGAGTCCCTGACTCTCTGCTCACAATCATTAAGGGCTTTTATGATGGTGGGAAGGCCCGGGTAAAGCTTCGTGGCCAGGAGTCGGAGCCATTCCCTGTTCCCCTTGGCGTGCAACAGGGATGTCATATGGCTCCCACAATATTTCACATTATCTTTGACCATGTAGAAGCTTTCAGTTGGCTGCACTGGAGGAAGTTACATCTGGTACAGATACAACGGGAGGTTCAATATAGAGGTTTTTGGGTTAGATCGCGTAAATATATCTGTCGTTAAAACCTGCCACCATCTGACACAGCCAACTAGTAAGGGTTGTCACGTAAATAAAACATGCCAATTCATCACTTAGTACAGCACACCGGTGTGTTGGAGAGCTAAGCCACAACATTTACAAACTGAGAATTACGTTTCGCTAGTAAATTACAACCAGCTTCATCAGGCGACTGCCAGATTTGTGGAGAAGTCTTCCTGTTTCGTTCATTACATAGAGGCGTAGATGTGTTGACCACGCAGCTGCGCTCTTGCACAATGTGGGGGGGGGGGGAGGGGATTACTGAGGCAACGTACATTATGCGAAGCCCTTTGAACTTGTCCTTCCTGTCTATTTTGTTAATTACAATAGCCCTACCAATGCATGCCCTTTGTAGGCATGCATTTAAATAATGTATTATTGATGATTCGCTTCCACGCAGCACTAAGACGGTAGCTATCCGAACGGTTAAAGTTATTTTGATTTATTAAAATTTCTATAGATTATCTAATCAGTCTTAGCCAGTAGTAGCTAGTTGCGCACAAAGCTTCAACATCAAAATAAATTGAGTGTCCTTGTTGGCACGCGTGTTCTGCTACTGCTGACAGTTGCATTTGGGATAATTGAATATTTCTCTGATGTTCTTTTAGTCTCGTGCTGATCTTTCGTCCTGTTTGCCCAACATAACATTTTCCACACGTGCAGTTAATCCTGTACACACCTTCTGTTGATAGCTTCGGTAATACATCTTTTGTACCAGATATTAGATTCTGTTTTTTATGTACCGTGCCAAATCTGACTCGGATGTTTTGTTTTTCCAAACATCTGGCTAGTTTATCAGTTACTCCCGCCATGTACGGTATTCTGATCGTTTTAATTACTTGGGCAGTTTCAATGCTCTTGTTATTTGATTTGGTGTTGGTATTCAATGCCCTGTTGATTTGTGCATCATTGTAACCGTTCATTTGCAGCGCTTCCCTAACATGTTGAATTTCACTTCTCAGGCTGTCACCATCAGACACTTTCTTAGCTCGATGAATGAGCGTCTTGATAAGAGCAGATTTATAAGCGGGGTGATGGTGTGACTCTGCATTCAGATAGGCGTCAGTATGCGTTTTCTTTCGGTAAACACTGCGTGTTTTTTTAACCATTTCTACCCCGGTCGAGCAGAATATCCAGAAATGGTCGAGTTCTGTCAGCTTCCACTTCCATGGTGAACTGGATGGATTGGTTTTGCGAGTTGAGATGTTTTAGAAATGCGTTCAGTGTATCTTTGTCGTGTGGCCAGACCACCAATGTGTCATCAACATATTTAAACCACGCAGATGGTTTTAGTGTGCTTGAAGCCTATTGCTTTTGTTTCAAAATCTTCCATGTACAAATTCGCTATCACAAGGAAACAAAGGAGAGCCCATTGCTTCTGCTTCCTTTTATTTGTAGAAGTTACCTTGCCACAAGAAGTAGCTGTTCTTTAGACAGTGTTCAGCTAGTCTTGGGATATCTTTGGCTAAACCTTTGTTCGTTACCAGCGTGTCGAGTAATTTAATTGACTCGTTGACCGGAACCCTCGTGAACAGAGAGGTCGCATCACAACTTACGAGAATATCATCAGGATTAAGCTTAATATCTTTAATTATATTTACGAGATGTTCAGAGTTTTTGATGAACGAAGAGGTCCTACCGATGTAGGGCTGTATTTGTTTCGTTACGTATTGTGCTAATTTGTACGTGGCAGAGCCTATTGTACTAACTATGGGTCTTAATGGGACATCAGGTTTGTGAATTTTTGATAGCCCATAAATTGAAAGAAATCAAAATTACTGTTCGGATAGCTACCGTCTTTGTGCTGCGTGGAAGCGAATCATCAAATAATACATTGTTTAAGTGCATGCCTACAAAGGCCAGCATACTTCAATAGGGATTGCCGTTGGTAGGGATATTTTAATAAACACAATAGACAGGAAGGACAAGTTCAAAGGGCTCGCATAATGCACACGCATAATGTACGTTGCCTCAGTAATCCCCCCCACATTGTGCAAGAGCGCAGCTGCGTGGTCAACACATCTACGCCTCTATATAAGAAACGAAACAGGAAGACTTCTGCACAA